ATACTTGATACTCCTCTAGGCCGCAGTGATTATACGACCTAGTATTTCATGTACCCTTGCTATGCTGCATATCCCGAGGACAGAGCACAAACGACGCGAAGCATGACCGGTTAGAACACCTTAACCCGACTCATTGAAGCGACCGACTGGATTTTCCTTACCTGGGAAGCACCGAATATTGTCCAGGAACGATCCATCTGTACGTTTAACAGCTTGGTTAGTGGAATATCGGAAGCCAAGACTATCAGTTCGAGAAACATGACGTGGTTTATCCGGATTAGGACACGCAAATGCATGATGAGGAGCAACGCGGCGTGGTATACCCACAAAATCGATCCGAGTAGCTTGAAGACATATGTTGTTCACCGTAACAACTGTACCCAACTAACGCGCGAAGATAAACTAGCCTATCAACTTGATTAAGCCAAGTGATGAAGTTCAAATCCTAAGCTTTTGTACAAGCATGTAAATAGCCTGCATAAGGTGAAAACAGGATTTCCCCCACCTCAAACGGCTGATGGTCTAACTTGGACCGCTAAAGAAGCGTCGAATGTTCTGCAACAACAATATGCACTAAGGTTTTACTGGAACTCATGTTCTTCTGAATCTTTGGAGTCTATCATGCTTCTACCAGTACTCACTCATCTAAATGTTTCGATAGACATCTTGATGAGAATGCTGCTATACATGCGCCTGCACGCCTGTTCAGGAACTGACGAAATCCGGCCATAGATGCTTTTTGTGGCGGCTACAATTTTGGCTTAACCATTGGCGTGGCTGCTCCAGCTCTGCCTTGAGGAATGGCACGTTTCTGCAATGTGTAAATAGGAGATAATAACCAGTTTCCAAAGAGGGTAGTGGTTACGACAAAGCCAGTCGACCCAGCTGTCGACCATTGCCTCTACTGCCAGTTCATTCAAAAACCCTGAGGCTATCATTGCCGACTCACTCATGTCCTATTTGGAGGGCTTTGGTTACGTTGTTTTGCAGTAACAAGGCTTACGCCAGAATCAGTCGTGCACAACCAACTTATTGTTAGCACGAGACAGTTTGACCGAAATAGTTGATGCTGGTGCAGGAGTTGATGTGGCTTATCTTGCTTACTCTAAGGTATCCGACCGGTTGGCTCATCGTATCCTTCTTGCCAAACCTTAACCAAGGGGCATTGGAGACGCTCTACTTGAGTGGATCAGCAATTATCTCTTGCACAGACTTCTGTAGGTGTGAGTACGTAAATCTATGTCAGATCCAATTCACGTCGGATACGGAGTGCCACAGAATTCGGTTTTGGTGCGCCGTCTATTTTTGGTCTCCATAATCGATCTAGTGAAACCAATTGCGTCAAACTGTTTATTCAACGCCGACGACATCAAAGTTCGGCGAGTGATCAGAATTCCAGAAGACCGTATCCAGCTTCAAATCGACTTTAACAAGATGTATGGATGGTCGGTCAAAAATCGCCTTTTATTCAATGTGGCTAAATGTCGAGTGCTCCATTTAAGTCACCGAGTGGGGGACCAGGATCTGCAACACTGTTCTCCCTAATGGGACATTGGTGTGGTTATCCAGGAAGATGTAGGCTGCTCGGAGCCGTTCAAGAAGCATCGCAGAAGGGTATCCAAATCGCGGGGTTTTTACGGAGAGCTTTCGTGCACTTCGAACTTCTATTTTCTGTCAAATACTTCCCGCTTGAATACGTTCTCATGTTGCAAATGCCATTCAAGTATGGCAACCAAGGCTAAAGCGGTATCTTACGACTTTGGAGATTCCACAACGTCGGACGACGACAAATGTCTAGGGACCGCGCCACTTGTCATAGGAACGGTGCCTCAGACTGCTTGATATTTTCTGCGGACGTTTTCGGCTTTCGCGTGGTGACCTAATCATGGCTTACCCACTAATAAACAACACTGATTTCCCCTGCTATCAACTGTTGAAGCTGAGTCACAACAACCAACTGAGAGGCCATCATCTCAAATACATCATCTCAAATACAATACAATACAGACCAGACCTGGAGAAGCTGTTGTGTCAAGGGCGAAACGGTGTCACAAGACCAACTCATAGAAAAACCGATTTATATTCTAAAACTTGCAATTACCGTTTGTTGTATTGTCGAAAGAACGTCTTCTCGTTGCGAGTTTGCCACACGTGGGAAACCCTAGCAGAAGCTATTATTTCGGCTCCCTCGTTACCCGTGTTCAAAGCACGTGCCGATAGTGCACTAGCCATACTACACCAAATCGTGTACTCGAAATGACCCATGCAAACAATAGAACAACAAAAACGAACAAACACACCTCCATTTTTGCCCGAAAACCACCGACGATAAACCTGGATAGTACATAAGACGGACGGGAATCCTCTAATCGCCAAGTTCGTAGTTTGTGGTCGTTCACTATTTCTTATTGCTAGTTGTTCCTTTAGGTTGCTCACCGCTAACTGATCATCCGGCGGGGCACGTCAAGCTTCGGTTTTATTTTATCTGCAATATACCATTGACCATTGATATATAACATCTGTCCAATAAGATTGTACTCGTTAAATTAGCAAGCAGAAGGCCAGCCCATGTCGCAGTTATGTAATGAAGTATTCAGTTAAGCTCTACGTTTATTCAGGTACAGTGGATCCGACAATCTATATTGAGTTGAAGTGCCCTCTGCTCAGTATAGCTACTTGAAGGCTGGGCCTTCCAATTCGTCCGCTCCTGTTTTCATTGGAATAATGTTCTGCGCTACACATGACCGATATTTCTTCTCCCCTTTCTACCATTTGTTTTATTAGTTGCTCAAGTAAACCAATTTTAAGGTCAGCGATGTTAAATTACTACGTTAGCCGTTTGATTGGGTACCATGAAGTTGTCAGGGATTTACATCTAGTCGAGTAGGGTCATAAAAGTGAACGCAAGGCCTGAAACCAAACAACACTAGTGACCCAGATGTCTTGTCACCAATCGTTCTGAAACTGTGTGCTGATGCATTAAGGTCACATTTGACAAAGTTTCAACTGGTGTTTATTCATTCGTACCATCCCGACAGAATAACAGAATTGTTTAAGAGTGTCGGTCAGTTGTGTGCATCTAAGTGTCTCCGAGGGTGCTTGAAAAACTACTGGTTCCTCGCATATTCGCAAGCGATCATACAGATGGTATGAAACAGTTTGCTAACGAACCGTAGCGCTCTACACGGGATGTTATTTCTTGTACTGTGTATCTTCACTGGATACAAAATAATAAAATCGCGCAGCTCCAGTTCCTAGATTATACGATTGCCTTTGGAAGCGTTACCGGAACGTTACTACTTACCATTTTGCTCAAAAGCGGCGTTTCACCATATGCATGTAATGTAACGTGTGACTACTTTACATATCGCACGCACTTCACGCTATTATGCGATAAGTCCACCGCTATCCCAGATAATTGTGGGGTTTTGCAAGTAGGTATTATATCCTCCTCGCTTTTTTCCTCCTATGTTGCATGCCTGTATAAACCAACCAGTCCCATTGTATGTAAATATGCTGATGCGGTCGTTCGTAATTTTATAGCCACGGTAATTAGAAATTCGTTGAAGCTTCAACATGGAGTAGACGAACTTATAACCTGGTCAATCTTCCGGCCCCTCTCTTTTAACCTTTCTGATTGCTGTCCTGGCATACTCTCTTTTCTCTACCCCAAAGAGATGGCGTCCTCTTCTAAATAGCCCTCCTCCTTTGGTCGTGAATGTCCAATGCATCCCTTGTTTATTCACCTTAAAGCTAGATATGGATTACAGTAGAAGTACCAGTCGTACAGATTGCTTTGTTCGCATACGTCCAACTATGTGTAGCGGAGATAGGTGGTTGCAGTACTGGATAGGCGGTTTAGGCAATCCGCCCGAGAACCGCTCAGCAAGGGAGTTAGTGACACTGAAATCGATTTCAGAGCCTACGCGTCAGTACTCGAGGAAATGTGACAAAAGGAAACTGTTAGAGAACTCCGTTTCCCCTCAGTAAAACCATTTCGGAGAGTGCTCGGAAATCCTATTAGATAGGCTCCTCGAAGTGCAACCTCCATATCATGCACCACAGAAGCACGATTAATGATAAACAAGCATATGTATTGACTAAACGGAAGTAGTCATTGTTATAGTATACTATGCGCACTAGAACAGCACTACAGACCTTCTCAACAGATTCTTGCTAGAGTTAAGACAAGGCATTAGCCGCATTGCCGCCTTTGAACGGCGAATGCACGAATATATCTACTGAATACATTCAGCCTTGGTGGTTTTCCTTTGAATTCTTACAAGTGCTTGGAGTTGAAATTATCCGGATGTAACATTGCTCATAGGGCCTCGCTGCTCTACTGCAAATCCTCGAAAACTGTGTTAGGTGTGTAAGTACTGCGAGCCTGGAAAGCAAGAATGCGGACTAAACCCCGCTTGTATTGCAGTAGCAACGCACTACGGAGGTACACTGACATTTAATTTCCCAAATATATCTCAGCAGAGCGCGGGAGTTCATTCCTAACTGTTTTGTTAAGTACTTAAGATGGTTGCTCAGAACCCCTGAAATCTGTCTTATTCACCATGCATTTTCAAAAAGTTATTCGTTCTTTTGACAGGGTGCTTTAACCGAAAGGGCTAAAAAAGATGTGCTTTCGTCTGGTGTTGCTCACCTTCATATATATGGTAAAACATGATTTGTAATTTATTATCTCGTTCATAATGCTTTACTGCCTTAAATTTACCGTACTTGGTACGAAAAATGATTTTCGCAACAAATTAAGCTTCGATGAACTTGCAGGACCCCCCAGATGTGACGCAGACGAAGCAGAAAGTAGCTGACCTCGGGACCGATTTCACAGATGTAGTTATATTGCATCCTTGAGACACTGTTCTGAACACACAGAAGACAAGTAAAGCAAATACATGTTTGGAAAATTTCACACTGGAGTGCAGGAACGTCAGTAACACAAACACTGCTTTATACGCAAAGCAAATTTCATACTGAAAGCACCATTCTCAACACCTTGAATTGGAGTTTCGCATTTTAACCCAAGCGGTATGAACCATATGGTTATGTTCTGTGATGAACTTCCCCAGTTTCCTAGAGAAGTTCAGTTGATCCAGGTGCAACTGTGAGAGTAGCTCCTCTTGTGCAGGGACCAACGGATTGAGGCGCCGGAGTTCGTTGTACTTTCGAACCTTTTCCGCTTGTTTACTGAAGTCAACTAAATCGGACATTGTTCCACTACCGTGAGTGTTGAACAACCTCGCAGTTTGCCTGGGAGGCAATCCGTTTAGACTCGCCTCAAATGGACTCATTTCGTATTCCAACATTGTCTAGTCCGCAGCACACCGCTATCAACGAAGCTTAACTAGCCGGCTCACCTAGCGGGCTAAAGCGTCCAAATCAAATTGATGTCACATGGAAATCAATAACGGTGTGCGTGGAAGGATTTTCACTTTGGGCTCTGGGGCCTATAGTAAGACGCTGCCTTGGTGCTAGCACAATTTAGCAATTAGTTAACTGCTTGTTTAGTAACTGAGTAGCGATTTTAACGTCCAATGTTAAGAAACATTTGCCACAGTCTACTGATGTCGACAGTATGGAGTACGTTACTGCTTTGCATAGGTTAAATGCATAAGATAAGCTGGAAATAAATTTCTCTGGTATAGTAAACAAGAACCATCTTGTCTATTCCATCGTTCATGGAGTACGTTACTGCTCTGCATGGGTTAAATACATAAGCTGGAAATAAATTTCTCTGATATGGTAAAAAAGGACCATTTTGTCTATTCCATGGTTCATGCAGTAATCTAGCGAATGCACACAACATGCCGTTCATACCCAACACATAGAATGACCGACAGCCGAATGGTAATATATCCACTCTGATTATATGCATAATAATAAAGTGTTTATAGAATCCCTAAATTCATTTCGCAGGGCGAAAAACGTTTTCAACTTTCTGTTGCAAGTGATTTTTATGCTGATTCTATCTGAATTTTCAATGCTGACTTCAAATCGGAAACTCATTTTTTCTGCATGCTCCAACTTCGATGCGTTTTTTATTTTACGTTAGTAGAAAGGTAAACACAAATACACTTCCTTTCAGATCTGACCATGGCACACTCAGATCGACATAAATATGCAAATGAACTGGCAGCATTCTGCTATACACCCGGTTACTATACACTTGTTCCCCATTGGAGCAATATCACGTCGTTTGTAAAATGTGTCTATAAAGCGTGCTTTGAAATACCCCTTGGTGACCAAGGCCAAAAATGTCTATTATGGTAAGGAAATATTTCCTGACTGTACAAAACGTAAATGCATATAGTTATTGACCTCATTAAGGGTCATGAACACAACTGGTTACTTTGTTTTGATCTGAACATGGTGAGCTTTCTTCTTCTTCAACAGACAGGCTATACAAAGTTCTCCTTTTATTTCTGCTTGCTGGAAAGTCGAGCTCATGATCAACACGGGACACAGATGGAGTGGCCAAGACGTAAAACTCTGGAGGCTGGCATGCAAACCATGTGAATGAAATAAATATAAGCAGAGAGCTCATACTTCCTCCACTGCATTTGCAACTTGGACTTACGAAACAGTTTTGTGAGAGTTTGATTACTGGTAGCGATTGTTCTCAGTACATAGTATCTGCTTTTCCGTCTTTGTCTTTGTTGCATATTAAAGCTGGTGTTTTTGTCAGTCCTCAAATTGGAGCTCTGATGCGTGATGAAGAATTCGTCTCAATGATGTACGCCAAGGAGATAAATGCGTGGCCGTCAATTGCGGCGGTTTTACATAATTTTTTGGGGGGAGAAAACGCAGCTGATTATGAGGAACAGTTTAAGAGAATGTGGTTGGCAGTTTGCGATCTTGGGTGCAATATGCGCGTCAACTTGCGTTTCTTAAACAGTCATCCTTTTCAATTCCCCCTAAACGCATGATGACTGGCTGTTGTTCGAGCATAAAACGTGACTGCCATAAGAAAAGACAGAATCAAAAGCTATAGATATAAATTCTTGCCCAATTAATGCCAGTTATAAATCGAACTTTGTGCACATGTCCTACCTAATCAAAAGTGTTATGTTCAGGACAAATGCTTGCGTCCATTTATATATTTAAGGTACATCGGGTCATAGCCTATCATTGCGAACATGTTCGTTTTGCGCAAAAGTCTGTATAGTCACTTTTCCAAATATCTGCACCTTATGGCGAAAAACAACTGTTATCTTTAATGTCCGTATGCCCAAATTATACACGAATCACTGTTAGTTTCTTTGAAGCGGAATGCAGTTTTGCAAAGCGATCTAACGAAAGCATCTAGAAGGTGCGAAAAGTGAAATTTATGGTCTATTTTCACGAAAAGCTATGGCTATAAAAAAGCGAATGTCAGATTTAAATTAAGCATGCTCGATTTGTATAACAACCATTGTTCATTTTCTTGCTGATAAAACGTTGCGCAAGTTAATCAGCTGTCTTGTTGTGACACGCGATGTGTGCTATATTAGTCCGTCCTAAAGCTAGAGGTAAGCCGAGATTTATTGGCGGTTAATTAGGAGGCCGATGTGTTCAGCTTATGTCTAAGCTACATTGGAGTGCTTAGTCTAGCCTATTAACAGAACTTCGGAGAATGTCTAGTTGAGTTAATAGCGGACGTAAGATCGCTTTGCCCACTGTCGGCCATGCGTCCATCGCAGCAAATCTGATAGCCAGAAGTGAGCATAAGTTTCCGGGTCATAAGCACAATAACAAGTCTCGATGGTGCGTACCGAATGTGAACTGTCCAGGACAAGTGAAAATTTCAAACTAGTACAACATAAGTTCAATAGTACTCCCGCCGATGGGAAGCACATAGTAGTTCAACATGTGGTCTGCCAAATGAGTCAGTTTATGCAGTTTCATGTATTGAAATATGATTGAAAGCGCTCCTTGGTGGTGGTCAACAGTCTTGTTTGCATAACACATGCTTGATAAAGCTGCACTACCTGTCCAATCAGTGGGTGTCAAATTGACGCGTGCATGCATCTTAAGAGACGATAGCGACTGAGCTGAAGGTGCGGCTGAGCGAACCTCATGGATACTGATCCAAACGAATAAGTAGCAACGTGAGATTAGTCGCTTTTCTTTACATTGAGTGACTTGCAACAGCAAATGAACTCCGTTTACTCTGATGTTAGAATCACAACAGTATGACAAAAAGTTGGATACGAGAAACTTTTTGTTTTGCTTCGCCTTTAAAGCCAACTGCAATAAAAGATAGGTAAAAGGTACTAAGATAGTCAGCACAAATATAGAGTGTCGTCATACTGGAACCATATACCAAGTCACACCAGTGGAACTTGAACAGTTACGTACTGTAACCGATCCACTAACGTCCTTCGAATGTTAAGTGGTAGTGGGTTGGGTTCGCGTAATAAAAATGAATTGTGGCACCACGCTGTTCCAATACCTAGTTCATGAAACAACAAGTCGGTCTTCACCCAATGTTTCTACCAAAGATCGCAGTGTCCTCAATAAAGCGATCTATTAGGAAACATAAAGGCTTCAACAGTAGGCGAAAATCAAACCAGCGCATCCTAAAATGCATCGCGAGCGACCACTTATGCTTATTGCACGTGATAGTCGAAGCAAAGACATGTAATTCTCTAGTCGAATTTTGTGCTATTTTATATCATTGATCGAAAGAGGGATTTGGTATGAGTCGTTTAACTGACAGGGTTCATTCACGTTGTTCATACTCTCTATTACTGTTATTATTATTCTTATTACTGTTATCGTTATGAGTAGTACAATTAAGAGGCTTTGATTAACGAGCAGGTTAGCCAATCTCCTTCCTTTCTCCGATTCTGTACGTTACACAAATTAACATCGTAATGAACGACGCCCATACGGAGACATCAAAATCAAGGCTCATGAGCGTCATTGGTCCCATCAACTTGGCACTTATGTAACACACCCGTTATAACGCACACAGTAACAAGGCTAGTGGATGACAGTACGCAAGGCGTTTGAACGGAGTTTATAGAGTTTGGTATTTGGTGGATTCCGAATGCTAACCAACGTGACCATTTTACACCTCAATATGCACATTACATCATATAGCCCTATGATGTATCCCATGTCAACAGAGATTATAGAATGACTGTATTCCGCTTGGCCCATCTTTTTCAATACTTGGAATGGTAGCAACTTGTTTTGGTGAGTTCAGTAGGTGGCCAGCACAGTCTTAATCGCGCATTTTTGGTGAGTATTTGTCGGCTCAAAGCCTGCTGTCATCTCCACTTATCACACAAAATGTGAAGAATGGAATACGCAGGGCGTATAATAAAGCGTTTTCATTGCGATGAATAACAAATATACAAAGCATTTCTTTGTTCTTCTGTCACGATTAATTAAAAGAATGTTGTTTTTCCAGCTAAATCAGCATATACCAGTCCGACAATCTCAATTCCACACTGACCGATGGTTCATAGTTCTGCCTTTCAAGTTGTACAGAATTTTTTCTTCAAAATAATGTCATATAAAAACACATAAGAACTTCCAGAGACAGTTGTGATAAAAGTGATAACTTTGAATAAGTTTAAGTGTTTCACATTTTGCTTGCTGACTTGTAAAATCAGGATCGATGGGTTTAGCTCAAATGTTGATATATGGAATGCCCACCGTCGACGGTTCTCTAAAAAATAAAACAACCTACTAAAACCTCACCGAAACTGTAGTGTCTGTTTGACCTCGTCCGTATGTGCTGAATTTCCTTAGGAGTATAAAGTTTATCCCTTCTTTCATTACACATTATAAAATCCGTCGTTTTAACAGAGTTGCATTTACAGCGTCCGAGAAGTAGCATAGTAACCCCTGAGTTAGTTTACCACTAGCTACACGCGAAGCGCTTTCAAACGCAAATGGAGCATCAACAATTTGGAGCACTGTACGCACTGGATGACTGTACAGACAAGCCACATTAAAGGAGACGATTTAACTGGACCTGTGGTCAGAAGGCATTTAGTTTGATTGTCGGCAATAATTTTGATTTTAGCACATTTGATCATGAACAGCCCTGCGGTGAAGACTATCAAAAACCGCCAGAATTTACAGTAAGCTGGCGTGTTGTTAACTGTGTTGAACAAGGCTACGGTACTGTGGAAGACAGGGCGAAGTATTTCATTTTACATCTGCTCACTTTCAATTGCCAACAATAGTGATGCGTGATAGCACAGTGCGAAGATGAAAATCGCACTTACCGATTAGTGTAAGTTCATAATCTTACATATCCACCAGTGCGAAAATTCTTAACCTAGCAAAGTAGGTGCTCATCAACTCTGAG